CATGATGAAATAGCTGCTATTTTGGACAGGAAAAAATACTTGGTCATTCTGAGCATATAACAACAATTGCAAGTGATTTACACATTTCTATGGCTGTAAATGCCTCTAGCCATGATCTATACACTGGTGGTGAGGGAACCATGGTGAAAATCCAGTGGTTTTTCCATTGTTTTGTACCAACAGAGAGCAATCTGCACTCCAAATGGTGCCAATCATGTAACAAAAATTGCTCACTCCACATTGCATATTTTTTTACAAAAGTTTCAGATCCATAAAGCCCTTCAACATACCTAGGGAACAGTATCATACAGAAATGCGCTTTGTTTCACACTTGTTGAGGTAGTTGTCCATGCCTGTCTTATCTTTGTGTGTGAGTTGTGCATGCTGACTAATGAGCCTCATCCCAGACATGCACTGCACACAACATGTCTTCCTCATGGGTAACAAAAAGTCTGCAAGTGCTTGCAGGCTGCGAAAAACTGGCTCCCAAAGCAGTTTGCCCATCAATCAAGTTCCTGACAGTAGCTCCATCTGTTCCCAGGACATGGCACCTTGTTCAGAAACTCCTGACCTTGACAAGGATGGCCTTGGTATCACACCTGATGACACTGATGGCACTTTGGCACACTCTCCTGTTGACACACTCAAGTGAAAATCCATCTGGCTCAGCGTCAAGCCAGTATCTTGCAAGGAAAACTCCCCAGAACTTGACAAAAGTATGTTATTTCATCTTGCAATGTACTTGTCGCCCCTTACTACCCTGATTTATTAGATGTCATTTTACTGGTGCCTCAAGCAGCAAATGAGGGATCCAAGCACCTTGTTTTCTCACAATGGACTCCATTTTCAGAGGTCCTGGATGGAATCTACAGCACTATTGGGTGTCAGAATTTTGCATGCAAACCTATGCTCTCGTACAAGCTCTCAACTTCTGCTCAGAAGGACGATGCCATCAATCTTGGAATGCTGGCTGACTGGGATGGATGCTTAGAGGAGGTAAATTCTGCATGGAAGAAGAAGAAAGACTCGGTTGTCTCAGTCAAGATTCTTGTTAGCGAACAGGTGTGTTTCAAATTGTTTTGTGGTCAGTATGATACTTAATCATTGTCAAAACTAGTATATGTCTACCCTACATGCAATGCATGGCAAGAAGAAGCCACCAGGAAAAGGCAAAAATCCTCCCCTTCTCGATCTTGACAATGATGGATCCAGTGCAGATGATGAAGACAGCACTGCGATTGAAAAGGAAAACAAATCCCTCATGGAGCTGGAGAAGTCACTGAAGTTGTGTCAGCGTTGTGGTCCCTCCAAATACTGCAAGATCAGCCATGCCGGCCAACATGTAAACCTGACATTCAACCAGCGTTGAGGGTGGGCACTCACACTTGTAAGTTTCATTGTTAGTGGCTACATTGATCAATTTACTGATGGTGACAGGGACATGAGATGCATGGAGTCACGCTGAAGACCCCACCAAAAGGCAATCTATTTTCAGAATTCCATGCTCCACAAAGTGACAAGACCTCGTCGACATCAGCCACACAAATGCCCCTCAACAGTCCCTATATGTCGATGTATGGATGGCCCCCCATGCCCCCCATGCCCCCCATGCCCCCAATGATGCCTCTGTGGATGGTGCCTCCAGTGTATCAGGCTCCAGCAACTCCAGTGACACCTACCATGGGTGAGAAGCAAGGTGAGCTGTCTCCCAGTGAGCTCAACCATGACACCCGGCCAACATATCCAATGATTGTCGACTTCCTCACCAAGCTTGATGCAAGATTTCCGAAGTGCAAACTATCTGTTTATATTCCACAATTCAAAGTGATGGACTTTTACAACATTGACAAACTTAGAAGCCTGAGCAAGGAACAGCTCATGAAGGACTTTGGTATGAGCCTCAGGAATTCATGCTTTTTACTGTCTGAGGTTGCACAAGCTGTTCGGCAGGTGGAACACAAAAAACACACAAGGGTAGAGTAGATACTCCCTACATACATCATGTCCTTTGCAGTAATCATTATAGCAAGCATACATTGCACAAATTTTGGGTATGCATCAGTGTGACAACCAACATACATGTTGCATACAGACACAAGCTACAAAGCTACAAATATCCTGCATTATGGAACCACCCATGTGCAGCTTCTGGAGTGACTGTATCAAGTGCACCATAGAGAAACAAATATGGAAGTGTTTTGTCTCCAGATTCAATGATAGCACAGAACTGATTGCCATGGTGGCAAATGTAGGCCTTCAAGTACAAGAAACACTCTTCAATTGGGTTCAAATCAGGGGAATATGGAGGTAGATAAACAAGTTTGACGCCACTGTAATAGTTACTTGAGTATGTGTACTGAAAAAAAAAAAAAAGAAAAAAAAAACATACCGTTCCCAGCAGAGTTCTTCTACACCATCAACGTGATGGATTCTGCAATTATCCATCACAAGTACACTATGAGGGGCCAGATATGGATTCATGAAGTCAAGGAGTCCACAAAGATAGTTGAGAAAGTGATTGCCATTGTACACGCCTACTTTGATATGGCTGTAAATTATCCTGCTCATCGTCAGAGCCAGAAGGATGGAATATCTGTTGGAAAGAGTGTTATGTAAAGAAGGCAACATCATATGGAGAATACATACCGTGTCCCACGAATGAAGTTGCAATGCTTGTGTGCCCGCATACTAGAATGGCTCCATCCATTCAGGTGAAACGTCATAAGTACATTCACAGCACTTTCATCAATACAGACAATGTAGTCAGGAGAGTCTTCACCAATTGCCATGGTGAACTCATGATGTGCTTCCTCACTGCACTCGCTGGCAATTCGAGAAAGCTAAAATATGATGATGTCAGTGTCTGAAAATTGAGATCAAAGTGTATGTGTCGTACCTTTTTTGAAGACAGACCCAAACATTTGAGTGTACACCATATTGTTGCAATAGAGACTTTGATGTTGTGAAGCAAGAGTAATTGTTGCTGAATTTCTTCAAGATAGAGGTCAGGGGAATGTTCAAGAAGTGCCAGCATGAACTAAGATATGGATATGATCAGCTCTCAATGCTATTTCCAATGTTAGAATGATTTAGACATACCTCTACTGCCGTTTCAGACATCAAAGGTATGTGCCCATCCATTTGTCATTCATTGACAACTTCACCAGTTTCATGGTATGTCTTGAGGACATGTTGAACGACTCGAAGTGGCATGTCAAGTGAAATGGCAATAGAAGTTGTGGTCTGACCAAGTACATGAGCTTGATAGATGATTCACTGCTTGAGATCTCAAGAGTATCACCTGCAGGTACGACTAGAAAAGTGCCTTCTGCATGCCATATGGAAATCACTCACATGCTCGCAGGCCAGTACCACAGAAAAACATGCTTGTGCATCGAGGCAGCTGACTTGATTAGTCAGCATGCACAACTCACACACAAAGATAAGACAGGCATGGACAACTACCTCAACAAGTGTGAAACAAAGCGCATTTCTGTATGATACTGTTCCCTAGGTATGTTGAAGGGCTTTATGGATCTGAAACTTTTGTAAAAAAATATGCAATGTGGAGTGAGCAATTTTTGTTACATGATTGGCACCATTTGGAGTGCAGATTGCTCTCTGTTGGTACAAAACAATGGAAAAACCACTGGATTTTCACCATGGTTCCCTCACCACCAGTGTATAGATCATGGCTAGAGGCATTTACAGCCATAGAAATGTGTAAATCACTTGCAATTGTTGTTATATGCTCAGAATGACCAAGTATTTTTTCCTGTCCAAAATAGCGGCTATTTCATCATGATTTCTACATCATCCCCTAGAGCTGATAATGCTGATTCAGAATATCAAATTTTCTTTCAGATCCATCAAGAATTGAGTGAAATATTTGAGATATATATTTTATCTAGGATACCTATGAGTTTTGTTGTGTTTGGCCGGTGCCCTCAGTACTGCAAACTGCTGTAAAAGGTATGGCACAAATGCTTACCTGTCCTATCCATCTTGTCTTTAGTTTATGCATATGCTTCTTCAAACCTTCCACAGTGGTGTAACCCCTTTTTTCCAGGGCAACCATGATGGGAACAGAAGCAATCAAATAGCCCCTGAATATTTGGTGTAACAGTGATTATTTGATTGGTCTCCTTAAAAAAAAAAAGTTATCTGTCCATCCACCCTACCACCAGCACATCTCTTCTGATGCATAGTATATTCATTCTTCACCTCAAAAGTGATGGTGCACTTTGAACATGTGTATGGTATAATGGCAATTGGAAGGTGCAAATGAGCAAGGAGGAAATAGAAAGAAGTTCAAGTTCAAGAAGAGATGTAGCAAAAGGTGTAATCCAGGGCATCTCAATTTCAAACTCCACTTGAAATGAATCACTTGATGGCAGGTTGAATGGAGGCTGTGGCCATGTCATCAGTTTGCTATGCATTAGGCTATTTTTGTAGCTAATTGATTTTAGACATGTGGATTTGAGTCATGATGTCATTGTGTAAATATTTGTACATTTCGACAAACATTTTTCAATATTTGTGACATTGGGTATATATACTGCCATAACTTTTTGCCAAGTGATGCTTACACCTTGAACCCATACAACCACCTTCCAAATTTAGTTACAACCAAACTTTGACAAATAAACAATAATGAGTACAAACACTGCTGTAGGTGTCTGGAGTGATTTTGAAATAATTACATTTGTAATTAATTCATCAATTTCTTATTTTAGGCTCACACACCAAACATAAGCTATCCACAAATTTTCAACAGGTCCCTCTGTTGCAAGAGATCAACTTGCTTCTTTTCAAATTATTTTCATAATTTTAGTATACATGTATACTAAATTGGCACCTTTGTTCAACCAAGGTTACAAAAGAAGTAGCTGCAACTAGGGAGATGGATGAGATTGACAGCTGTTGAACAAAGTTCAAATTGGGTGGGGGCTGATGTGTGTTGCTGCAAGTGATGACTTGGGCCATGGGCCTTAGTTGAAATGTCAAGTGTTCAACCCCTGGCCATTGCAACATTTGTTGGTGAGGAAGATGATGAACAATGCCAATGCAGATGGACTTCAAAACCATATGATGAGTGAAGCCATTCAAGTTGGCATTGACCAATCATTCATTGCAGGTGGGCTGGAGACTGCTGCCCAACTCACTCCCTACAAAAACTTCATTCAATGGAGTGGCAAAGCAACAGGACCAGGGGCAGAAATGTTCCTCATCAATGGTAATCACCATGTTACACTCATTCAAACTTTGTATGAAAAGGACATTGTTCACTGCCAAGATGCAATTGTGATGATTCATGAGGGGCAGAATGAAAGGCAGAAAGGTGATGCTGCAAAGGAATTGGAGAAGATCAATGAAAAATTGAGCCAGAAAGCTGTGTGGCTTGTTGAATTTTTTGATCTCAGTAAGTCCTAAAAATATTTAATATTAGTATACATGTATACTAATTGTGTGAAGACCTCATTTTCCAGTCACCACAGGAATCAGTTATCCTTTTTCATCTCTCAGTAAACTGACTATGCCCTGAAAAGGTGGACACTGACACAGAAAAATTGAAGAATCTCCACCTTCTGTGTGGAAAATCTGATGTTGAAGCAAACATGGTGTACACACAGATTGCATGTTCCTGGTCAGATTCAAAGGAGGCAAACTCTGTCCACCCTGCATTCATTATCTCTCACTAAGAGTTGGCAAAGTTCTTTGCTCAAGTCTTTGCTTATACAGCCCTGGAAAGCTCAAAACTTTTGACAGTTTCACTTATATATGACAATTCAAATCCACACCTCACAGATGTAAGTAAATTTAATTAATTAATAATTTTAGAATACATGCAAACTAAATTCCTTCACCATTGCAGCTCTTCCTGGAAATATTCAAACCCATGCTGTCAGTACTAGACTTTCTTGCCTCCCCCATTCAAATGGAGGACTGGCAGACTGCTTGTCATCAAATTTTGGGTTGCCATGTGCCTGCAGAGGTGAGTCGAAATTGTATTATTTTAGTATACATGTATACTAAAATATTCAATATAGGTGGCAGATTGGTTATTTCCACTCTGCCAGTATCCCATCACAGGCCAGTGTGGAGCAAATCGAGCATGGACATGCATCATAAGTGGAGTTATGGCATTTTTGAAAACCCATCTGGACACCAAGGACATTGTGAAGCAATAAAACTGTGTCAATGAGGTAATACTATGTCATTGTTCAGTGTACTTTATATTCATCAAACCACAGCTTATTGCAATGCTTTTTCGCCACTGCTGAGTTGCCCTTACACAAGTGAGGGTTGGGTTAGCAAAGTTGTTCACCAATGACTGGGAGAAAAAGCAGAAGGACCAAATCAAGCCATTCTTTGATGCCATTGGTGATGTCAAATGGCTGGACACCTTCCAGACCTTCTTGAAGGCCTATCACATTGAACTTGATGGTACTAAGCCATCATTGGCCTGACCCAAAGCAAGCATTGCTGCACTCAATGCAGGTCTTGATGGATGTGTTTCAGAAGAGAGGAAAAGTTACTTCTGCAATGTTCATGATATCCTCCATTTCACCCCTTTCCCCTGGGAGCAACTCACTCCTAACAAATATTCTCAAACATTCATCACTGACATGCTTCTTGAGGTTAACTGCTTAACTGAGTGGGAGAAGTTACTTTAAATCCCTACAATCTGGGACCTGCAGCAAAGTGTGCTTGATTTATTCCAAGGTTTTGGTCCATGTGCAAAGTCTCAAGCCCCCTGGCTGTATTGGGATGGCATGGAGAGTCAACCCATCCTGTCTCCTTCAAATCCATTATTGGCACTGATGCCCAAGGAGTATGCTGGTGAATCATTGGGGACAGCAGTGGAATGGGCTGCAAGTGCACCACATATCACAGCCCAAAATGTTAATGCCATGCAGAAGATTGTCAAGCTAATATCTGTGCCAACACTGGGGTTGTGTGATGGTGAAAGCACTGCCAAGCTTGACCCTGACCTGAAAATGCCCTTGGAGAATTTTTTGATGGTATTTGGTTTATTTCTGAAATTTAAGATACATGTATACTAAAATTATTATTTTAGAGTCTTGCAACAGTAACAGTCAAAAAGACCATGTGCTTGCAGGAGCCCACTGCAGACCTGACCCATACAGCTCCATTCCCCATGACCCAAGAACTTCTTGGGACTGCTGGCTTTGGGTCAGATTTCCAAAGCCTGCAATATCTGAATCCCCTTGAGGCTCAAGAATTCTGGTGAGGACACATGACAGCTGAGCTTGATCCATATGCAGTGCAGTCACTGCATTCTACATCAACCATAGCCTATTCAGAACAGGCAAGGTTGGAGCAGCAGCATGCCCCAGACAAGATGGCTAGGCATGTGAGGAAGTTTGCAAAGAAGAAGCCATCTTGCATCCTCCCCCAACCTGATGATGGATCTGACAGTGAGGGCCCAAGTACATCAACAGGTTTGTGTCTTTATTATGAATTTTAATATACATGTATACTAAAATGATGGATTTTTAGCACAAAGGCAGCAATTGCTGGCCCCCCCCCCCAGTGCATCACATCATGCATTGAATTTGCATGATGAATCTTCTGCCCACAGTGGGCCATCTGGTTCAGGTAATAAAATTTATTGACAATTTTAGTATACATGTATGCTAATGTGCATATCACACCCTAGATAAATGGCTGACTCCTGATGATGGCTTTGACACTGATACACACCACAAGAAGCAAGCAAGGACATCAGGAGCTCCAGATGGTGGATATGACCTGCTAGTGAATGTGACAGCTGCAGATAAGCTGCAGCAGATTACCCACACACCTGAGCAGTGGGCAACTGTCATCAAAGCCCTCAGTGCTACTTCAAAGTCCAATGTGCCAGTTGATCTGAAGGAATCCACCTTGGAGGCACTCTTATTTACAATCCATCACTCTATTAGGGCTAATCCCACAGATTTGGCCATTCTCTTGGATTGGGCAAAGGCCCTTCAACACTTCCCCACTGATCATGACATCTATATGTGGATCAAGGGAACCTGGGCCAATCATCCTGTTGTCTGGAAGGTGGTTGAGGGTCCATTGCAACAGTGGGCTGATGATGTGATGAGTAACTTGCACAGAATGGATGAGGATTGAAGGACACACCTTGTATGATGTTTACCCTGCCTGTATTATCTCCACATGTCATCTTGCAATGAATATTGGCCCCCCCCTGGCCTTAAAAACCATGCCATTTCATCCAAGATTGTGGAATTAGTATACATGTATACTAAACTTGCTTAGAAGTGTTTGGTGAGATGTCATATTTGTTTGTTCAAGAACACACTCTCAGTCAGTGCTTTGTACCTGTGACTTGCATATCCTGCATCAAGTACAGTACCTAAGATTCAGTGTCAATTCCAATGGATTGCCTGTGAAAAGGTCAACTTGGGTTAGTGTAAGCTAAACCTAATCAATTAGTATGCATGTATACTCAATTTACTTATATGGGTTGGTTACACATCACATGAGGTGGTTGCACTTGCTGACTAAGGGTTGTGCTCTCCCCATTTGGTGGTTGTGCTCACTGACTAAAGGTTGCACTCTCTCCTGTAGTGCAAGATACATGTATCTTAAGAGCAATGGAGGTTGTGCTTGCTGACTAAGGGTTGTGCTCTCCCCATTGGGTGGTTGTGCTCACTGACTAAAGGTTGTGCTCTCTCCTGTAGTGCAAGATACATGTATCTTAAGAGCAATGGAGGTTGTGCTTGTTGACTAAGGGTTGCACTCTCCCCATTGGGTGGTTGCACTTGCTGACTAAAGGTTGCACTCCAGGTAGGATGGGGCATCCTTCTTGGATCAGAAGGATAGGTTTCATTCAGTGGCTGTGAGGTTTCATTCAGTGGCTGTGAGGTTTCATTCAGTGGCTGTGCAGGTTTCATGCAGAGGTGAGGGTGGAGTCTGGAAAGTAGATTATTAGTAGTGTTCAACACAGCCAAATGGTGTTTGGGAGGTTCAGGAGAGAGTGCCAGTGGTGTGGAATAATATAGACCCAGGGGTGTGTCAGAATTTAATTGAAAGTATACCTAGAAGCATCCAAGCAGTGATAAAAGCCAACAGAGGTCATACAAAGTATTAAAATTATCACTTTCTGTATCTCTGATACACACTTCCAAAATTCATTCGATGACATGGCAATTTAAATTGTATATACCTTTATGCATACTGATTCAAATTACATATTCTTTTTTTTTGGATGGATAGCCCTGTGCAATTGGTTTGTGTCATCAACTTATACTTTGGTCTTATTTGTCTTTGCTCTTGATAAATTCAACAAACAACCCAAAATGTGCAAACATTGAATCAATTTTGCAAGTCACTGTATCTTGCCTCCAGATAACCGGTCATAACCAGTTGCCTATTTTCTTCCCTTATGTTCATCCCTCAACCCTTGGTCCCTCCTAGTCAGTAGTCGTTTTCCAGTGGTCAGTGGCATAGCCATCAGTACTTGGTACTTTGTGCTCCCTAGTCCCTCAGTCCCTTATTCTTTGCTAGCCATCTTCAAGTCGGTCAGTGGTCGGTAGGTGTGTAGTCTTCTTTTTTGCTAATCAACGCCCTGCTCATCTTTTGTCCAGATAATCAACCAGTCACTTATTTTTGCTACTCATGTTCAGCCTCGGCTTCATCAGATGCAAGCCAGCTTGGAGCAATTCCAGTGTTGTCTCATACAAGCCAAGTGGCTGGCCTGAAAAGGGTGTCCTCCCACAAACTTCTGCATTGGATCCTTCCCCCCATGTCCATGTCTGCTGTCAGTGCTTGGTATTTGGTAGTCTGTAGTCGGTCATTGGTAGTCATTGGTCATCACTATGTCCGCTTTTTTTTGCTAATCATGTGCTGGTCATCTTGGGTCCAGATAAGCAACCAGTTGCTTATTTTCTTCAGTTCATGGTGTGGCTGTTGCTACTCGGTAGTCCATAGTCCGTAGTCCACATAACCAACTGCTCCCTTATTTTTTCCCTAGTCATATTCTCCATCCCCTGTCATTATCGCTTGCTAGCCATTCATCAGTGGCAGTGGTCCCTGGTCACTACTACATCCCTTGGTAGTCTGCTTTTTTTGCTAATCACCTTGCTGCTCATCTTCCCTCCAAATAACCAACCAGTCCCTTATATTCACCTATGTCTGTTGTCAGTAGTCAGTAGTCTGTAGTCATTGCCATGTCCACTGTTTTGCTAATCAACTCACTGCTCATCTTCCATCCAGACAAGTGACTGGTTGCTTATTTTTGCTACTCATATTCATCATGTCTGTTCTAAGTAGTTGCTAGTTGCTCATCAGTAGTCAGTAGTCATTACCATGTCCACTTTTTTCACTAGTTACTTGCTAGTCATCTTGGGTTCAGATACGCAACCAGTTGCTTATTATTATTATTTTTGACTCTTGGTGGCTGTGTTTCTTCCCTTCACCAGCTTTCTGGTGGCTGTGCATTTATTTCCTTATATGGTGGTTGCCCTCAGGTTGCCTTCAGCCAACCTTCCTTATTTGGAGGTTGCCCTCAGTGGCTGTGTAGGTTGCCTGAAGGCAACCTTCCATATAAGGCAGGTTGCCCTTGGAGGCAGGGGTGGACTCTGGAAAGTAGATTATTAGGCACTTTTTGAATTTCCTTTTATAGTAGTAGGCACTTTCCAGACTGGAACTGTGCAGACAGTTTAGATTACTAGGCCCTCTTCATGTGTGCTTTCAAGGCATCTGTGGTTGAATACCCTGTTGGTTTAGTGCAGGATGCCTCAGAACAGTAGCATAAGAATACACTGCCTGTCCTGTGCACTGTAACCTGCTGTCCATCAGGTGCAGTAAAGGTTGATACTCTGACACATTTTTTGTTGTGAGTGTTGTGTAGATTTTTGTTGTCAAACTCTGCTCCACAGGTGCTGCAGGTGTAAGCCATCCTACTGTGTGATGATGGTGATGGGAGAGATCAGAAGAAAGAGAATGAAGGGAGGGAAAGAGAGGGAAAAAATACCTTTCTCATAATGGATGCTATATATACTGGCTATCTGTGGCTATGCAGAGCTGTTATCTATACATGGTAGGTGCTTTGCATGGCAGTGTGATTTTTTTTTGGTGGCAGACCATTGCAACTCATTGATGAGTTGCATAGTTGCCTTCTGCTGTATTGAATATATTATTACAAGAGCCATAAGTGATAAGATATACCTTAGTGAGGACAAGATTGACTGAGGCTCTGTAAGTAAGGGAAAAATTAATTAAATAAAATTAAAAAAAAGTAAACAAATTTAAATGTTCTCTGACTCCCATCACTTTCAAGGCTTTGCCTGCCACTCAACCTACTTGCCCATGATCTCTTGACTCAAGCCTCCTGGTGTATGGATGCCTGTACTTGATGCCTGTTGTAATTGTAGTACTGAATTTATTTCCATGCATTATAACTGAAAGAGAGCATGAATGCCTGTATTGAGTTGAGGCAACATATATTGATGCTTGTGGTTACATTGTTCTAAGATATTGAATCAGTCCCTTTGAGAGGCACAAAGGAGTCTTTGAACACAGGTCATTCAATACACACAGCATGTAGTATTAAGTAGTGGACTACTGTACAGATGCAGATCTTGTGACTGCCATTGCTTTCAAGTGCATTGCTACATCATGCCAAGCTGATCATACTACCATCTGAGTGTCATCTGAGTATCTGGCAAAATGAGTGGCCAATTTTGAGATGGGGGTGCATGGATATATTGGCCTGTGGGTGGTGATGGAACTAATTTTGCAGTGTTTGTAATTGCATTTATGGCTCCCCCCTCATCCTCATCCTGCTGCTCCTGCCAGTGGTTGTCCCATGCAGGGTCTGAGCCTCCCTATACCAAGTGCACATGCCTCCCTCTACAGCTCTTCATTAAATACAGCTTACTGCCAAGAGGCAGAAGTGGAGTGAAGACATTGGCTTCAGCTTGTGTGCTGCTCAAGTCTTGTAGGCAGCCTAAGGTGGGTTTAAAGGCTGCAAGAAAATTACAGTTTTGTGTCAAATCTGGTCTGCCTGAAGTGGATATGAAGTGCACAGCAGCACAAGAACCTATGTGATGACTTGGAAGAAGAAAACATGTCTTTGTATGACACTGCAGATCACAGCACAGTGTGTGATATAGCAGATGATGATGTCATGGAGGAAACCACTCAGTCTACCCAACCAAGATTCCCCTTCCTCTGGTGAAATGTAAGAAAAGGATTCAACCTCAGATGCCGGATGCTTGGCATCATTCTGGCAACAAGGTGAGGTGGAACACAACAAAGATTACCCTTCCTCTGGCAAAATGTTAGAAAAGGATTCAAACTCAGATGCCAGATGCTCAGCATCAGTCTGGCCAGAAGATGAGGTGGAACACAACCAAGATTACCCTTCCTCTGCGAAATGTTAGAAAAGGATTCAAACTCAGATTCCAGATGCTCAGCATCAATCTGGCCACAAGGTGAGGTGGAACACAACCAAGATTACCCTTCCTCTGGAAAAATGTTAGAAAAGGATTCAACCTCAGATTCCAGATGCTCAGCATCAATCTGGCCAGAAGGTGAGGTGGAACACAACCAAGATTACCCTTCCTCTGGAAAAATGTTAGAAAAGGATTCAACCTCAGATGCAGATGCTTGGCATCACTCTGGCCAGAAGGTGAAGTGGAACATAGTGCATCCAGATGCTTTACAAATGACATTGAGAATGATGATGGCCATGCAACCACCACCACCATGCAAATGACAATGCACAGTGCATGGTATAATGGATGATGCTGTGGTGGTGGAACTCACTCAGTCTACCCAACCAAGATTATCCTTCCTCCAGCAAAATGTTAGAAAAGGATTCAACCCCAGATGCAAGATGCTTGGCATCAATCTGGCCACCAGGTGAAGTGGAACACAGTGAGTCTTGATGCTTTACAGATGACAATGAGAATGATGATGGCCATGCCACCACCACCACCATGCAAATGACAATGCGCAGTGCATGGTATAATGGATGATGATATCATGGAGGAACCAACTCAGTCCACCCAACCAAGATTACCCCTCCTCCGGTGCAATGTAAGAAAAGGATCATGCCTCAGATGGAAGATGCTTGGCATCAGTCTGGCCACCAGATGAAGTGGAGCACAGTGAGTCCTGATGCTTTACAGATGACAACTGAGAATGATGATGGCCATGCCACCACCACACACATGATGACAATGACAGCATGGAACATGTAATAATATTCTCAATATTTCATGCAGAAATAATTTTTGATGTTTTGCTCTATGATTCTCATGTGGAAAGACTTTATATCTGATTTGATTTTTCGTTGAAAGATGAAAGGCAGAATGTTTCGCAGACAAGCTTTGGAACACAATTCATCATTGCAATACGATATTTGGGCTAAGTAAATACTTCCTACCCCTTTGAACTTTCTGCTCACAAAAAAGCAGATTGTTAATTCCAAAACAAAGTGAGATATGTTGGAGAACTATTTACTGATATATCACAAATATTGTAATGAAAATCATTCTGCTGAACATACATAATTATTTTATATGCAACAATTTGAGCCTTTCTGATACCATTGAGAGATGATACATAGTGAACATGTAGTCAGTACAATCTCAACTTTGTTGTATATCATCACTACCCATTACCCACCAAATCCTATCAACCCCTGTGTGTCATGACACTCTTTAGAGTACTCGTTAATCTCCCCAATGTCAACCACCCTAGCCTCCCTTGTGTGTTGTATCATCGGCTGCAATTCAATTCTGTAAAGTTGGGACATCTCCCTCTCTTGCTATGTATTATTAAATCCATGTATATGATGCTGGCCTCCAGCAGTACTTCCAGCATCATTCCCCCCAATTTATCGTTGCCACTTTGTAATAATAATGCCCTCGGGGTATGTATATTATCTCGTGTGGTTTACTCGTATTGCATTCACTACTATAAACACATCAGAGTCTGGTAGAGATGAATCGTGGGCTCACAACAAGTGCAAAGGTGGCCCAGTCAGTGTGGACAAGGGCTTCAGTGCTGGACTGATACCCACATTTACCGATGTAATTATGGCCATCCAAGTCACTTGGATCCAGTTTGCTGCTTTTGTCCACGATGCATTCTGACTATTATGCCTACATGTGTTTTCAGTGTCATAATCCATGTAGAGGGGGCAGGTGCTATGGTGCTGACAGTCTGAAGAGTCTTTGAAATATCACATACTGGTGCATGATCCCACCGCTGCTCTTTATTCAGTTCTACCACAGCATCTGACACTACCAATGCAGTATTTAGCCTCCTGATCATCACCCTGGCCTCTTCCAATTCCTTTCTTTCTGTTCAATGGCTGGCATTTGTTTGGGTCAGGGTTCTACAGCCAAGAAAGAGCCTACATCATATGTAACACTCTCTGCCTTCTGCAAAACAGAAGGAGCATCGATAATACACATATGACTTCTGTGCCTGTTGGATCAGGTCACTGGTCATATGATTTTGTAGACCAGTTTCAACCTCCTGTCTCTGCCCATTCTGTGCTGCTCTGACCTCCTCCCACATACTCATCATAACCTCACCATTGCCCACCACACCACCCTCATTTCCCCTGCATATCAGAATGCACAGGACACGTACCTGAATATCCTGCAGTGAGAGACCTGTCCCATTTAGGACTTCCTTTGTGATGTCCAGGGGTCTGGTGCTTCCCTTTGCAAGTTTCTGTAAACAACTGCAGTGGAACCAATTTTTGCAGGTTCAACAATACCATTGTTCAGCTTTGTCTGGGCTATATGGTTTTTCACAGACAGAGCAAGCATGGAAGGGGCCCTGATGGGGTGTAGTTTATGTCAGGAGGTTTTCAAAAATCGGTGTCACGCCATTTATCAATACCTGGATGACTTGTTTACCATGTGTGCTCATGGTCCACCGTGTATATATATCCTTGGGTCCTATCAGAGGACCAAAACACCTTTCTGCACTGAAAGATGTGATGTCTGCTGGCGCTATGCTCTCCATGAGCTTCCAAGCTGTATACAAAATTCAGGGATGACTTACACACGATGGCCTCTGGTTCAATGATGTCATTGTGATCCGATAGAACCAGCTCATTGTTGCCAACGTATTTTCTCATGCTGTTTGTGAGTGAGTCAAAGATACAAGGAACTCGATGACAGCCAGCTCACTTTTTGTCTCCTATATCACTCCTGCTGTAGTACCACTGCACTTCAACCCATGCCTTCTGTACTGCACGTCAGAATGGTGGACACCCATGTGGCACTGGAAATCTCTTACATTACTTCTCTTCAACCGCTGGACTCTGATGTCCTTGATCACAGCATACCACAGGCTGCCATCGTCACCATTTACAAAGATGCTAATTAAAGCTTCCATCAGCAAATGACATGCACACCCAGTCTTTTCTTACTTATCACCTCTTTGGAAGGTGTGGGTCATGTGTTCTGGAACTTCCTCCCTTCCATCCAGGATGTCTTCACCTGCACCAGTGAGGTTCGTCACTGGCTGGATGAGCTTAAATGACTGCTGGTGTCTAATCGAGACCTACCACTTAGCTTGGAGGATGATGGAAGGGAAAGAAAGGTCTTGTTGGATGGAGGGGCCATGTTGGGTTGGGAGGCAAAGTAAAAAGTCGGAGGGTAACCCGTGACGTCGCTTGCAATTCTCGGTTAGCCAGGGCAGACCCTGAAAAATTTTCTTTGGATTTGGCATGGCATTACGTGTTTGGGATCGGCAAAGAACCAACATTCCACTGCCATGGCACCCCAGACATGTTCCCAGAGAGTCCTCAGAGCTGCTTCCAATGCATCCTCCACTGATGAAAGTGAAATCAGACTTGCATTTGACAATGTCATGAAGGCCATTTCTCCTCCATCTCATCATTCAGACTCAGCATGCTCTTCTCCTCTGTCCCCATCCTACAGTGTAATAATGGGTGGTCTCCTTGCCAGAGCAATGACTCCTCCAGAAGATCCAGAATCCTCTGTTGATGAGGATGAACTAAACCAGATATTTGAGAAGTGCCAGGCCATGGTAAACCACTTGAGTGGGTCAGAAGAGGAGCATCAAAGCAATGCCTCTGACGATTCCTTTGTGAATGTGCATGGCCCATCAGTTTCACCATCACATCCACCCATCAGGACTTGAGTCAGGAGTCAGGGGTGCCTTCTGTACGTGATATCATCAGTGAGTCTCTTCTGTACTCTTGCTCTCCATCCGCTTATGATCACTTCTGAAAATGTGTTCCATGGCCAGGCCTACCACATGGGTGATGGCCTACCAGACCCTAGGGACACTCTGGTATGAAACTTGGATTGATGCCAGAATGGTGATTTCTTGACTTGTGTTACAACAAGGAGGCTTAGTGGTGCAAAATCACTGTTTGGCATTGTTTGTTTGTTGAAAAATCATTCAGTAGACCATATGATACATTATGTAAGCATTGGTGAGCATCTCACCATGTTTTATATGTGTTCCCAAGGACTACATCCCCAGTATATCACAAAGTTACATAATTGTCCCAATGAGCTCTCATTTTCATTTGGGTATTCTGTCATCAGTTTCTATCCAAATATTATGTAATGGCTCATCAGAGAGCCATGACCAGCTGCTTTGATCCATCCACCAACACCTTGGACTCAATAATGATATTTCACTGCTACACCATGATTAATGAAAAACATGCAAACATTGGGACAATTTTGTGAGCCACTGTAATTGATGGATATCACTGATCACATGAATGGAACACATGAAATAAATACTTGCCATTGCATATTTCTTCCAAGGGATCCCTCATCTCTGATTTCTCAGGCATGCCAAAAGTCAAAGGATTTACCCTGTTGTCTTCATCCACTGCCAAGTCAAAAGATTCAACAGGTACATTTGGAATGAGTGGGGGAGGTGTTGGTTCCCTCATATCCTGCAATTGAACAAGCAGGTTAGTTGGAGAATCAGGTCAAGGAGATTGGTCCCTTGGATTTGATGATTCGCAGGTGATGGGCAGAGGAGGTGGTTCCCATGCATTGTGCAAGTCTGCCAGAAAATTGACCTGCATAGTAATGTCTTGTGCAGGTGTTGAAGACCCATCCATCCTATTTAATTTCTCATCTGTGACTGGCAGTGATGATGGTTCCCATGCATTCAGCAATTGTGCAAGTAGATCCACATTCATACCATCCACTGGGGGAGCAGTTGGTTCCTGTTCATTCAGGAACCAATTCACCAAGTTGTCATGTTGATCTATTAATAGAAAATTTGTTTGTTTGTTAGCTTGAAGGGAAATCATGCCAACTCACCACCCATGATTCTGTCCTCTGCCAGAGCAGTTGGCTCCCTTTCCAGCAGGAACTGATCCAGCAAGCTTTTGCATGAATCTATAGCAAAAATATGTTTGTGGTTGAGCTTGGAGAGAAATCATGCCCACTCACCAGCTGTGATATCCATGTTTGACCCCACCATATCTGCCTTTCCACTTGAGACAATTGGTGGAGGGGTTGGCTCATGCAACTCATGCAGTTGTACTAGCATCTCCTCCAGATTTTTGGACCATTTCACATGGGAGCTAGATTGCCTTGGCTCAATTGGTCTTACATTTGCTGTGGATGGCTTAGGTTGCTGGATCCAACAATGAAGACAACCTCACCTTGACAGCAGAAATGAACTTGGTGGGACTGTTCAGTGGACATATTTGATGACAATGGGTTCACTGATAGCTTGATGATCAATCAAGATTTAAACTTGTAGGAACAATGGTGAGAATATCATTCACACCGTGGGAAGCAAGGTTGGACAATGGCAGACATAGCCAAATTTTGGGTAACAGCAATACACAGGAGATGAGCAGCAATATCTCCCTACGTAGATAGCTACCAGTCACTTTGACATGGCCAATATGTACACCTGTCCCACTCAGCTCTCTGCTCAATTGTCCCACTCAACCCTCCCACTTAACTATCCCTCTCCTGATATCAAAGATGCCTCTCACAGCCATCATGGTGTCATGAGCTACCATACATGCCATACACTTGTATTGTAAGTGTAAAACTAGGCCAAGCCCTCTATAGACCATACATGAGTTCCAAAAAATATTTCCACTCTGACTGTTTGAGGGATTCAACAACTACTCCTGCTTCCAATTGCTGCCTGTTTGCTTCCATGATCTCATTGCATCAGGAGATGGAACATCTGCATCTGGCCTTGCAGGGGCCTTTCTGACATGAGGTGACTTCCAGGTGCCCGAAGGGACACCCTGTTTCACATTTGCAGATGCTGCATTGGTGGTCATGGATCCGTTATTGTTGGACTTGGATGAGTATTTGGCCCCAGGTCAATGTTGATTCATTTCTGGCTCACTCGAATCCAACAGAGCCTGCTTAACACACAGCACAAACTTGTTAGCCATAACAGCTGATTCAACATGTCTGAACTTGCCTTGTGTGTGCACTTCAGGGTGGATTTCAGCTTTCTGCCTTTTTTTCTGCTCATTAACCCCTCAGTTGGGTGGTCAGTGAAAGGAATGCTCTCCAATCCATCTTCATCTGCATATTCTGAGTGGTCCCATAGTTCACTTGTGTACTCACTCCCTGAGTGCAGATCAGGGTTTGCTGCAGATACAAGTTACAGCAGGAAGCTCACTATTCAGGGATGTTGCTGATTTCTTTGAATTGGATAGGGTGGGCAAATAAGCATCTTCATCAGCTTCATCATCAGAATCATGGCCATTGCTTTCCCTCCCATTATTGTCAGTTAGTGCTTTATTTCATGGATGCTGCACTGGGGTCTTTGCATGGGCTGGAGGTGCAGAGAGCTGCTTACTATTGGAACCATCAGCTGGTGGGGGATTTGAGTGGGAATGAGAAGGGAATGGTGTCTTGGCATGGTTTTGCCTCCCACCAGATACCTGAAGACTGGAATTGCACTAGCACTGATCTGTCACACATGAATATCACACATGGTGCACCTTTTTAGGGGAGGGATCATCTGTTCCAACATCACTCACCTCAGCCTTGCTGTGATCATCTGAACTGTCATCCACACTGTCATCTGCACTATCATCTGCACTATCATCCACACTGTCATCTGCTACTCCCTCTTCCTGTGCTTTATCCTTGCCCTTGACATTTTCCCTTCCAGGATTCTTTTTGCATTTGGGGGCTGGTTCCTTTTGG